AGCAAGGTGCACAATTTCTTACCGAGACTCACCAGTCACGGACCAAGGTCTGCAGGCACACCGAGAATGCTCACCGATCATTCCCGTGGCAGAATAGGAAGAAGAACCAGCCTAACTCAAACACGCGCTTTGTGAAAGAGCTTTGATGGTATGAATTATTCTCTCTGGCGCTTATGGATCTTTAGGCCATATAATTCAAATGCATCAACTCAGCACTGGCTCTGCTCAGCACTAACAACATCGCGGGCTACAAGTCTACTGTGTAGGTAGAGTGCACAATATGCGAAAAGGTGAGCGCCAACGCAGTGCAGGTGACGTAGGCATCGCCGCTCGGAGCATTCGTGCTCCTTGAAGCATTCTCAAAATCGCCAAGCTTCGGTTATCGCCCTTGAAGCGGGCCGGGGGGGCTAGATTTATGTCCGGCCGATGCGGCTCGCCCGTTCTTAGAGCCCTGCCTAGGTTTTAGTTCATCGCCTGCGCAGCCGCCCTCTTCTATTTCTAGATTCGGATCCTAAGACGCATGTTCGGGCTCACGCGCCGTTCATCCGGTCCAAGGCGGTGCTGTGGCTCCAAAGCTTTCAATGTGTAACAATCTGCATAACAGTCAACAGTTATCACCAACGTCAGGGGCTCCGGAGTGGTTGTGCCGGCGGGACTCTCTCCAAGCCGATTAGGAACTTTGGAAGTGAAGAAGCGGCATGGCGGCGACTCCTGTCAAAGATTGAGTGGGGGGTACCATGTAAAGTTTTGATTGTTGATGTCGGCCTCGCCCGCCCTCTTATCCCTATGTCTCGCCATCGACTCACTGTCACCCTATCATCAGCCCCTCGAACGCACCCAAAGCTTTGCCGCGTAACCACATGCACTGGTCTAGATATCTAGCCATAGTGGGCAGACCGTGAGGTATCTCAACGCCTCTGGCTGGGCTGATGGATCAGCTTCCATCAAGATCTGAGATTTGGAACTCAAAGAGTCCAACACTTCAGCTACCATTGTCCATCTGATAACATCGCCAAGCAAAATGGCGCACTTGTGAATTATGATTGTGATAGTCCAATGCTACCATCCACGTGGTTTAGCTCGCAGATGTCAAGATCGCCTCCGGGATCTGCGAGCAGAAAAATACCCCTTTTAGAACATTGCGCATTCTAGCCCGGTAGCCCCCAAGGGCGATGCCGCTTCTTTTAGTTCCCTTTCCCAAGTCCATGGGCTCCGATTGCAGAGTTTCTAACTTTCTAGTGCGTCGAGCAGGGAATAGCATTATTCGAGGTCCCTCTACGGAGACAGCCACGCGTCGCCCACGTAGAGTTCGGATTTCCCGGTATGGGTCCCGGGTTTTCCGCTGCCCTGGAAAAGAATTCTCGCATACATTTGACCCTGGGAAATCGGAGTCTCCATGATAAAGACACTTAAACGCCATTAGAGATGTGGCTCAGATGTGGCCCGCTTCGCAGCCTTAATTTATCGTGAGTCTCCTGGCGACGCGCGATATCGCCTCCCGCCGCCGCTTACAAACTTCAACACCAGAGCTGTGATAGTAAACAGCTCAGCGTACAATAGTCCTCAAATCGTGAGAAAATATACAGAAAATATAATGAGCTTTGATAATTCGAATGAATATGATTTTGACAATATCTAGGTGAATTTCTTTGTCAATGAACAAGACCTTTGAGAATAAGGCCGAGATCTGAGCCCGGTGTCCGGGAGCATCCCCCACATGCCGGGTCGTGGAACTTCGCCGATGGATGGGGCTCACCGTGGATCATCATCACCACGAACTACGGAGGTAAACTCGGGACGTCGGCGCTATCGCCCCATCGGCCACGCAACGATGACGGCGGAGCATGAAACTGCAATCCATAGGAAACAGGAGCAAACAGGAGGAAACATGGGAAAACATGGAAACACAACGTTGATATAAGTTCAGACGTTTCGCCAAGATGTAGACTTGAGATGAACACCCATCAACCAGTTTCATTCTTTTGCTTCAACCACTATTAGACATTCGCTTTTCTTGCCCAGCATGAAGGTTTCTACTTCTGCGGGCGCGCTCGCCGCTCTTTCTTTCGCTTCTTCTGCATTTGCTGCCTCCAACTCTTCTTCCACCCTCACTAACGCCATTCTCGCCGACGGATATGGTACGTACTTACATCTCTTACAAGTGAAGTTTTTCACTTATACCTAACCTGTCATCAATAGTCTCCCTCGGCCGTTTCGACGATGCCTACCAGAAGGCCAAGGCCTTTGTTGCGACTCTTGACACCGCCGCCAAGGTTTCCATCATCACCGGCCAGAGCGTTACCGGCAACGCCACCTGGACCGCCCTGAACAACAAGGATGGTGTTTCCGGCATCAACTACCAGTTCTACGTCTCCGGCTTCAGCATGGCCAACGCCCTGACCATGAGCTGGAACCGTCAGCTCATCGAGGAGCAGTTCAAGGCCATCGGTGACGAGTTCTACGGCATGGGCTACAACCTCATTAACGGACCCGAGGCCGGCCCGCTCGGCCGCACCCCTTACGGCGGAAGAACCCCCGAGACTTTTGGCTCCGACCCCTACCTCACAGGTATCGCCATGGGCAAGGCCATCTCCGGCATGAACTCCGCTGGTGTCATCGCCGGTGGCCGTCATTTCCTCCTCAACGAGCAGGAGACTAACCGATCCTCTGGTATCTCCGCCACCACCACCAACGTCTACTCCTCCAACGCCGACGACAAGACCATCCACGAGCTCTACTCCTGGCCCTTTGCCGATGGTGTCCAGGCCGGCATGATGGCCGTCATGTGCGGCATGACCCGCGTCAACGACACCCTCTCTTGCGAGAACAACGCCCTCGTCAGCAAGCTCCTCAAGAAGGAGTTCGGTTTCCTCGGTCTCGTCTTCCCCGATGTCAACTCTCAGTCCACCTCCTACGGCTCCGCCAACGCCGGTCTCGACTACGGCTCTAGCACCTACTGGACCGAGGACATCCTCACTGCCGGCATCAACAACGGCAGCTTCACCCAGGCCCGCCTCGACGACATGGTCGTCCGCAACGTCATTGGATACTACTACGTCGGTCTCGACGACGGCAAGCAGCCCTCCAAGGCCTCCACCACCGAGTACCGTGACGTCCGCGGCAACCACTCCAAGCTCATTCGCCAGGTCGCCGGCGAGTCCATCGTCCTGCTCAAGAACTCCAACACTTCCGGCCTTGGTCTCCCTCTCCAGAAGCCCCGTACCATCTCCCTCTTTGGTGCTCACGCCGGCCCTGCCCTCGCCGGCCCCAACCAGCCCTTCAGCGTTCAGGGTACCGACAGCGACGTCTACCAGGGTCACCTTGCTTCCGGCACCGGCTCCGGCCAGCTCTCGCTCCCCTACCTGGTCACCCCTTTCCAGGCCATCACCCAGCGCGCCATTGACGACAACAGCATGATCTGGTGGCTCCTTAACAACACCTACACCTCCACCTCTTCCGGCGGCATGTCTGGCGGCGGTGGCGGCGGCAGCCCTCCCGGCGGCTCTTCCAGCAACAGCACCGGTGGCGGCATGGGCGGAGGCATGGGCGGTAACAGCACCGGCGGAGGTATGACCGGCGGTGGCGGCGGTGGCCTCGGCAACCTTGGTCAGGGAACTGCTATGACTCCCTCCTTCACCAACTACGCCGAGAACTCCGAGGTCTGCATTGCCTTCATCAACTCCTACTCCGGCGAGGGTGGCGACCGTAGCCTCCTCTACGACGACGAGCAGGATGCCATGGTTACCTCCGTCGCTTCCAACTGCAACAACACCGTCGTCGTCGTCAACACCGCCGGCCCCCGCATCCTCGACGCCTGGATCGACAACGAGAACATTACCGCCGTCATCTACTCTGGTCTCCTCGGCCAGGAGAGCGGTAACGCCATCGCCGATGTCCTCTACGGCAACGTCAACCCCAGCGCCAAGCTGTCTCACACCATTGCCAAGGACGCCGACGACTACCCCGTCTCCATCTGCTACACCGAGGACTGCGACTTCACCGAGGGCGTCTTCATCGACTACCGCTACTTCGACTCCAAGAACATGACCGTCCGCTACCCCTTTGGCCACGGCCTCAGCTACACTGCCTTCACCTACGGCAAGGTCGACGCAAAGGTCACCAACCAGACCGCCGCCGACTCCACCTACCCGACCGGCACCCTCGTCCCCGGTGGTGAGGAGGATCTCTTCGAAGAGGTCATCAGCGTCAAGACCAACATCAAGAACGACGGCGGAGTCCAGGGTGCAGAGGTCGCCCAGCTGTACATCAGCTTCCCCTCCGAGGCCGCCCAGCCCCCTCGCGTCCTCCGCGGCTTCGAGAAGATCGACCTCGCCCCCGGTGCTGCTGGTGACGTGACCTTCAGCGTCCGCAGACGTGATGTGAGCTACTGGGACACGGTTGCTCAGCAGTGGGCTATCGCCAAGGGCAAGTACACCTTCTCTGTCGGCTCCAGCTCGCGCGACATCCGCGCCTCGGCGGACATTACCATTTAAGGCAGACAGACATTAACCCTTTTTTTTCTTTGTACATACTTTTTTAGAAGTCAATTGTCCTTGACGTTCTGATTGGACTCGCTGTGCTATAGATATAGACTAGATACCTCTTGCTGCAATTCATTCTCTTCTACAACACGTTCTACCTTGATATCGAACTTGTGAATTCTTCAAGTATTCCTGTGCTCAGATCATTTCTCAAGAAAGGCGAATCGAGCATGAGCGTGAAGCAGATTTGGTTCTCTCGTATACTATGGCCATGGCTTGGATACGTCTTAAGAGATACTTCTGTGACATTTATATTCAGTTTTTAAGCTGCCAGAAAAAGCAGGAATACACAAATTTACCATGAGGAAGGAGGCAGGAGCAACTCAGTCGGGCTCGGTCCTGCCCCCAAAGGCTGTGATTCAGAGATATCGTCTTCGCATCAGCTATAAAAACTTCTCCAGATTCTCTTTCAACTTTGGCTGCAGTACATCTATACCACACACGCCATAGCGCATCACCATGACCTTCTCATCCGATGACTACGAGTAAGTCATCTGATGCAAGAACCATTTGAAAAAATCCGGGTTAGCCTCGTGTTCAGCCTCGGCTACTTCGATCAGAAATATATCAGCCCGCAATCTTCATTCGATAGGATGGAGCTGACGAAGGGGGACACACAGGCTCCTCAAGACTGGCATGCTCTCAGACTGCCAAATCAAGTGCGAAGGCAAGACATGGAATCTGCACAAGTCGATCTTGTGCGCGCGTTCCAAGTACTTCATGAGATGTTTGACAGGCGACTGGCCAGTATGTTTTTGTGAATGGAGACAATGGAGATTGTAAATGCACGATCTAACTTGTTAATAGGAGGCCAAGACTGGCATTGTCGAGATCACCTGCTTCACTGAGAAACAAATGGATCTCCTCATCAACTACATCTACACCGGTGGTAAGCAGATCTCCTTCGCCCCGCTCCTCCTGCTCCTTATTTCTCCCTGCATGCCTTTGATGATCGTGGATGGGAAGGTTACACTATTGTCAATGAAATTCACTGGATACAATACACACTCCTTTCATAAGTCGAGCTTCACCCTTGAGGCACCTTGGAGGATATTGGCTAAGCGAACCGTCGAACAGTATTCGACTTTTACAGCGTCTGTCAGAACGACACCTTCCTGCACACCGCCATTCAGCTCTGGACACTAGGCGATTACTTCTTGGTGAAGGTCCTCTGCTCCGAAGTTGAGTGGGAGCTCACAGCCTACACATTATCCCGTACACAACGGGCAGCCATATTCACAGGCATGCACCAACCCAGCCCCCAAGATTGGGTCAATGCCGGTCGACTTCTCTATACAGACTACCAAGACGTGGACAACACACACATTCTCAAGGCAACATTCTTGGAGATTACGCTTGGCAAGCCATGGGCCCGGAAGCTGCATCTCCAGATGCCTGAGTTTAAGACTCTGTGCCAGGAGCAACCAGACTTTGGCAGCGATTGCATGATCAAGCTCGTCGATGACGGTGTCCAACGACTTCAGTAATCAGGAATCACTAGGAGGATTGGAGAAGAAAGGCTCAATTTTCCTCTCAGATAGTTTCGGAGTTCAATAAGAGGGCGTGGATGGACTGTGTACATGCTAGGGACACTTATGAGTGGGCCTGCCACTGGACCTGAGATGGAACGACTGGCATAGAGACGAGGCACCTACTACAAGGACTTGCCCAAGCCAACGATGCACCTATGGGAACTTCGAGACAGTAAATCATTCACAATATTCTTACGGAGAACGCCCAGCTTCTCACCAGAATCCCCTTCTATTGATCGTGCTGTTCCCAATTTTCGGCAAGACTGTGAACTTGGTCGTCAACCCCTTCCAGCTCTCACTTAGCTGGGGATCAGCAAATGGTAGCAGCACCGCAAACCTCATTCTGTTTCCAAGTCAGCATCGTTTGATCCAAGGCACATCATCTGCTGGGGACGGTGGTGTAAGAACTCACGTGTAATTGCCCGGTGCCATGACACTTCCGTCGCCCAACTTGCCAAACCAATAGTACGCTGTCGTAAACCCGCCCGTCGTCAGTGCGTTTCTCGCGACATCCGTCTCTGGAAACGAGAAAGTATCGCTGGCGTTGTGACGAGCGGGGTTGAAGCTCGACGTCTTACCGGCAGAGGCCCAGGATGTGGCTGCGCCGATGTAGCCTCGTTGTCCGGACACGGGAGGGTATTCCCAGTCTCTGGCCTCGTCAAAGTCGGATCCATAAATCTGGTGCTTGGGGTCAGTATTAAGCCGTACTGCCAAAGGGTTGGGTGTTGAAGTTGACTTACATCCCACCGAACCTCTCTTGTGCCCCATTTGACCTTCATGAACATCATGGGAAAGTCTTGTATACCACTAGCCAGTTCAAAGTTGAAGCTGTAGTTCAAGTTAGCTTCATGTACTAACAGGTCAACGGCCATATAACACTCACGTTGTTTTATTGCTGTACGCGCTTGTTGACCTCAACCACGGGTATGTTCCATGGAAGGGACTCTCCATCTGCTCTTGCAAGTTGAAAGCCAATCCTTGATAGGGAACGGAGACAGTCTCCCCGTTGTTGCTCTTGACCAAGAGACGACCGCCGTAGGCCGGAAGCGCTGTTTGATTAACCCCCTCTGGCGCCTCAAAGATGAATCTAGAGAAGTTAGCTTCATCCTCAACATCCGTTCTTCAAAGAGGAGAACTCACTCTGCTCGTCTCTCCTCTCCAGGACCCAACACAAACTCCTCCGGCACCGTAACCCTCGCCGAGATATTACTAGGCACAATCTCTGCCCTATACTTAATCCTTGGCGTCTCTCCCGGGTCCCGTCCGTCAAAAGCCTTGAGCATCTCAACCCCAGCCCAACGCTCAACCTCGAAGCTATACCTCACCGTCTCATTCCCCCCATTCCTGACCAGGGCCCCTTGATTCGCGCGGAAGTTGGCAGTATCATTCAGCCCAAACCTCGTCAGCTCCAAGCTCGTTCGATATCCAACAACCTTGGCCGCATCAACAAGCCCACCACCAACCTGCTGCGACGGGGCCCGATACGCCTCATCCGCATCGCCACTATACAACAACCACGGTAACGAGGCCCCCGTTGAGATGATCCTCATACTTAGGTCCCTCGCAAACCCCTTGCCGTGAACACTCCTCCCGCCATGCTTAGAGATATACAACGCTGCAACACCAGCAACATAAGGTGTAGCCATACTCGTCCCAGACAGCAACACAAACTCATTATCATCCCCACCAGGCCACGTACTAAACACATCCGTCCCTGGCGCAGCAACATCAGGTTTGACAGACAAATCATATAACCCGCCCCAACTCGTGAAATACGACGGCCGCAGGATACCTCCTCCCGTCACCTCATCGCGCTTCACCTCCGCACTCGCAACACTGAGCACATGCTCGCCCGAACTCCCCGTGCTGGCGTAGTACGCCCCTCCGTTCCCCGAGTTCCCGGCGCCAATGGTGACGACCACGCCCTCAGCAGCGATCCGGCTCGCAACGACAGCCCAGGCATTACTCGCGAATCCCCCTCGACCGCCGATACTAGCAGTAATAACATCCATCCCATCCTCGTACGCGCGGAGGAACGCATCGATAATAGTCGCTTGATCCGTCCCATCACCCGGACCAAAGACTTTATACGAATACAAACTCGCATCAGGCGCAACGCCAACCCACCCGGTAGAAACATCCTCCCCGGCAAGGATCCCCGCGACATGCGTCCCGTGCCCTTGCTCATCAGCCGGGTCCGCATCGGGCTTCTTCTCGGTGCCGACGACCCACCCGTCCCCGACGAGGTCCCGGCCGCCGGCAACCTTGAACCCGGGGCCAAAACCCGCGCCGAGGGCGGTGTGCTTGTACCATACGCCCGTATCGACGATGCCGACTTTCACGCCCTGCCCGCGGACGCCTTGTTGGTGGAGTTCATCGACGCCCGTGGCCCAGTGTACTGCGTGCGCTGCTGCCGCGGTGGGGTCGACTGCGACTTGGCGCTTGACGGGGGCGATGAGGCATGCCTGCATGTTGGGCCAGACGGCTACGATGTCTGGGAGGATGAGGAGGGATTCGAGGGAGTGGTTGTTTGTTTCTAGACTCGCGCCGGAGAAGAGTGGCGAGTCAAAGGTTTTGAGGACGCGGATTCCTGTGGAGGAGAGTTCGTCGCGTTTGGTTTTGGCGTGGGTGCCCTGTTGTTGGTCAGTCTTGAGGACTTAGTTAGAGATGGTGAGAGGACTTGCGCTGGCGAATTCGATGATGAAGCGGTGTGCTTCAATCTTTGGAGAGTCGTCGTCGGTGATGTCTTGAGCGGCGGCCTCGGCGACCCAGGCGAGGGCGGACAAGATCCAAAGGCAGCGCATCGTGGTCCTCGGCCAAGTTCTTCACATCTACCGTCACGAGTTTGCTGTGACTGGTGGCTGCATCTTGTCGAGTATAGAGACAGCGAGCATGCCGACCTTTAAACCATCGCGACAACTCATCATACGCTTCTCTGCGCACAATTCGCAGTCTCCAGCAATGCGTATCAATTGCCCCGCATCTCATGCGAGCAAGGGTTCTGTAATGTGCTCGTTCCCTTTTTGATAATCCAACGTCGGATCAGGAAGCTCAAAGAGGGAGGTCGAAAGCGGTGATGGGTCCGATCTCGCTATATCAGGATGTGCCAAGACAGCGTTGGGTATGGCTGATGAGATAATGAACATAATGAGCGAGATCAAGTCTTGACGTTGTCTATGATTACATCTACCTACTCGCGACAGGTGGTCACGTCAATCATCAAATCGCGAGGTGCTCATAGTGATGGATGAGGCCATGTTTGCTCACTACTGAGCATCAAGAATCGCATCCCCAGCCCTGAGAATCGTAGCATTCGCCAAGAGATCCACACGACTAGGATCTTGAACCTGCGAAAACGTGCTCTTGGGGAGTCACCGGCATTCTATTCAATAATGCTCCGAGAGGCAACGAGTCCGTGGTGTTGTCAATCTGAGAGTTGCGAGTCTCTCTGTGTACACGATCAGGTTACTTTTTCGTCCAAACATTTCTAATTGAAAACAAGTGATTCGTCCGTCCCAACGGAGCAAACAAGCTTCAATTGAGTTTCGGCCATTCCGCCCGAGCGTATGCCAGGAACCGGGCTGTAGATCCGACGATCTCGAGCACAGCCGCTGTCAATGTGACGTTGTTTTCTGGGGCCGTTACACACACCATCTTGGAGCTGCTAAGACATGTGAATAAGACATGTGAATAAGACATGTGAAGAGGGAGGGGGGCATCACCAAGATCGCTAGAAGCATCACATTGTCATCGCATTGAAGCGAATGTGCAGATATGAAGTCCAATGTGTAGGATAAGAATATAGTCTATATGCATCTAGCCCGTCTCTCTGGGCTGTTCCGCTCCCATGCTGAGCCCATGCATCATGCCTCGTATCAACCACCTCCCATGTTGCTCGATGACTTTTCGCTCTGTTCATCGGGGAGTGTGTCTGTGTCTGTGTGAATATCAAAACAGGTGGAAAAAAAAAGGCAAATACCGGCGGCTGAGGTAATGACACTAAAATCAAAGAATGCCGCTTTCTATCCATACTCCCGGCTGTATGACTCCCCCCCGCTGTATGCTCTTCTTCCCTCATCACAGCTTACTTGGCTTCTTCTTTAGTCACTTCTCCGACTCGGGAATGTGTCCCTCGACCGTGCTCAGAGCGGCCAAGTTGACCTGGCCAAAGTGCTCGTGAGCCTCGCCGCCGAGACCGACTCCCGCCAGCAACGCGACACACTCGACCACGTCCTCGGGCTCTAGCAGATGCCATCTCGCCAAAGTGACCTTTGTGCTGGCACCGACAGTAACGGTGAAGATGTGCTCGTGCTGGACCTCGGTGCCCGACAGGCCGTTGAGGGCGCGGAACATGTCCTCGTCGGTAAAGTCGTCGCCCAGGCAGAGGACGAACTCGACGGGGCCGGGGTGCTTCTCGGACGCGGGCGCCGAGTTGTAGGTGTGTACGAGGCGCTTCGCAATCTCGCCCTTGTTGATAAACGTCGGCCTGACCTCGAGATTGGCCTTGCCTGCCATGACCTCGACATCCCACTTTTGCGCCACTGTTGACTCGAGCTCCTTTTGGCACTCGCGGGCCATGTGGATGCCCTGCTCGGGGTCGGCAAGACGGTAGTGCCATGTGAGGGCGCAGCGCTTGCGCTCGACAAAGGAGCCTGGATCATGTTAGCAAATGTTCACGTTGGCGCCAGTCAATAAAGGCAACCCAAACATACCGGGCACTCTGTCGGTGAAGGACTGGAAGCAGGCCATGACCTCGGCTTGCCAGCCCATATCGAACTCGTCGGCAAGGTTGACCCACTCGTCGGAGCCAGGATTCTTCATGAAGCTGCCGTGCTCAGCGCTGAAACCAAGACCGGCAATGTGGCCAAGGTGCTGGGTGAGGAACTCTTGATCGCGGCCCGAGATGATCCAAACAGCGTTCTGCTCGTCGCTGGCGAGGGCCTTGAGGGTCTGCAGGACGCGCTCGGAGGGGACGGCAGCGCTGGGCTCGCGGACGATGGGGGTAAGGGTACCGTCGTAGTCGAACATGAAGAGGCGCTTGCCGGCTTCACGGTAGGTCTTGAGGAGGGTGGCGCGGTCGAGGAGAGGGGTGGCGGCTACGTTCTTCTGGGTGCCGAGAACGTGGACGTGCTTGCGGATGAAGTTATCGATCCAGCTCTGGACGTTTCGGGTGGTGACGTGGTTGTAGAGGTTGGCCTGCATGTTCATGCGCTTCTCGGGCGTCATTGTGAGGGCGTTGTTGATCTCGACGGCGACACCGCTGAGGTCCCAGGGGTTAATGTGGATGGCGTCCTTAAGGCTACCGGCAGTACCGCTGAACTCTGAGAGGATGAGGGGGCCGTGACCCTCGCGCTGGCAGATGACATACTCCATGCTCGTAGTGTTCATGCCGTCACGGACCGAGGTGATGAGGCCAATGTCGGCGGCGCGGAGGAGAGCAAAGTACTCGTCCTGGCTGAGGTACTGGGGGTAGTGCTGGACGGGGGAGAAGCCCAGGCTGCCGTACATGCCGTTGATGCGCATGACGAGCTCGTTGACGCGGGTCGCGATGCGGGACTCGGAACCATCGTCGTCCTTTTCCTCCTCGATGCTGGTGGGGGAGGTGACCTGGATGAGGACGACCTTTTCGCGCCAGTCGGGGTACATTTCGAGGAAGCGCTCAAAAGCCTGGAGCTTCTGGGCGACACCGCGAACGGAATCGAGGCGGTCACGACCGACAATAATCTTCTTGCCCTCGTACAGCTTCTTGAGAGCGTCGTACTTTTCGGTGACGGCGTCGGTCCAGGCGTACATTTCGCACTTGTCGGCGTTAATACCAATGGGGAAGACACCGACCTGCACGCGCGCACCGTAGGCATCGACACCGCCGCTATCCGATGGGAAGCCGAGGACGCGGGTACAGCAGCTGGAGAAGTGGCGCGAGTAGCTGTAGGACTGGAAACCGACGAGGTTGGAGCCGAGGACGCCCTCGAGAACCTCCTTGCGACGGGGCAGGCAGCGCAAGAACTCGGAGGAGGGGAAGGGCGAGTGGAGGAAGAAGGAGATGTTCATATTGGGGACGCGCTGGCGGAGCATGCTGGGCAGCAGCATGAGGTAGTAGTCGTGAACAATGACAATGTCGCCAGGCTTGTAGAGGTCGATGATGCGGTTGGCAAACTTTTGGTTCATGCGGTAGTAGTCGGCCCATTGCAGGCGCTCCTTGCGACCGTCGGTGGGCTCGTGCTGCTTGTAGTGGAAGAGGGTGTAGAGGTCGTGTTCGGCGTAGCGGCGCCAGCGGCTCTGGTCCTTGAGGAGGACGCCCGCTTCTTGCTGCTCGTCATCGTCGCAGAGCCAGACGGGCACCGTCTTGATGGTCTTGCTGTGGGCGAGCTGGGTCTCGAGGCGGGCCTGGTCCTCCTTGGGAAGCCAGAGGCCCTCGCTGGGAGGCGGTGTGGGCAGGCGAGCATCGCCATCGATCGGGACGGGCGCGGAGAGGGTGTTGAGAGAGGAGAAGTGTACAGTCGTAGCGGGCGGGGTGCCGGGCGGCGAGAGAACGTCTTGGGGGGTATCGATCTCGCCGGTCCAGGCGACGACGGTGTGGTTCCAGGGGGTCTCGTCGGAAGAGAGGTAGGCAAAGGAGTCGAAGAGGGCGGATTGGCCGCGGCGCGCCTTTAATTCCTGTGATGGCGATGATGTCAGCGGGGTTGTCCTGGTGAAGGATCGCGAAGTGAGGGGATTTTTGAACAGCAGAGATAGAGACGTTAACTCACCCAGTCGGAACCTTTGCGGTACTTGAGGGAATGGGGAATGTTGAAGGTGGCCGAGATGATGTTGCCGCTCAGCTGCAGGTCTGGGTTGGCGCTGCGAATCTGGGAGAGGGACTCGCGACGGCCCATGGCGGCGAGGGTCATGCGCTTGAGGATGTCGCCGGGGCCTGGCGACGGAGGGACTTTGGAGGTATTTGAGGCAGCTGTGTTTGCGAGAGACGAAGTGGGATTGCTCGTGATGTTGTTGCCGCTCGTGGGAGGCTGTTGTTGTTGTTGTTGTTGAGAGGAAGTCTGGTGGTGGTGGTGAGAGTCGTGGGTGGTGTAGTTGGAGGGAGGAAAGTAGCTGTTCCCGCTGGGCGATTGGGCGCGCGAGCTGTCGGCAGAGTTGTACGTGTGCTGGTGGATGCCCGGCGTCACGGCGTCCGACAGGGCGATGCTTCGCAGCACGGGGTTGGCGGGGTTGACGCCCGTCGACTCTGGCGCGGGGGAGTGTTGCTCCATGACTCGTCTTTTCTCTCTTCTTCAGTCTCTTTACACTGTTCCTTTCTCTGTTCTTTGCTGCTCTTCTCTCGAAAGAGGTGGGTGGTGGTGCTGAGTGTGGTGTGCCGGGGAACGTGTAGAGTTTGGCTTAGCGGCTGTCCCAAGGAACAGGGGGAGACGAGAAAGAGGCCGAGAGGGGGGACACGGGCAGAAGATTCAGACGAGCCTCAAGTGGGAAATGTCACCCTACGTATGACCAGGGTTGAGATGAGGTGAAGGTGGTGATGCTGCGTCTAGTCGTGGAGGAGAAGGCAAAGGTGTATGTAAAGATGAGAATGTGACCAAGGGAAGAAAAGTAAAAGGATGGATGGATGGAAAGAGCAAGCACGGAAGGACTAGAGGCTCAGAAAGTGACGGACAAAGACGAGACTAAAAGACGACGGTTGACCGCTTGGAGGCTGGACCTGACTGAGCTGGGGCTGGACCGGGGGATCTGGAGACGCAAGACGGAATACGGGGGAGGGATGCAGCAATGGAGAGGAATACACCAGAGACAAGACCAGAGACAATAGCTACAG